ACCACCCCCGTCGTGCAAATCCTGGCGCCAGCCCTGTTACCGTATTATATTGATTTAATATTTTTTCAGCACTATTTTTGAGTCAAATTTTAGCTTTTTAATTTGGTTCTTTAATGTAAAGTATTTAATCATGTTCAATATATTCATGGAAATATATTATGCCTACTTGTTATACAGATCTTCATAAACAAAATTTAAATCCTAGATTTAATGCAAACATGCAAATGTCATCAATTTGTAATTAAACATTAAGCAAACAATGCTGAACTAAAGTAAATATTTAATTTGATATGCCAAATTAATAAACTAAAACATTACGGTACCTTGTACAAAGAGGCCTAGGCGCAGTATTATTAGATAATGTTAAATTATTAATTGTGTAAACTGTATATTATTAATTGGACCTATGCCTAATCTAGGGGCTTACATGTGCAAAAACAAATATATAATTGTTTGTTTTGAGTAATTATTTTATTTTTTTCTTCAGGGGAGGTCTATAATTACAGTTAAGCTAAAAGCAAAAATAAATTAAATTAAAAGCACTATTTATACAGAGCTAACCCAGCCAGGTCTGCGAAAAGTACTATTCAGAACACAATCCAGCCCCTACCCTACAATACATTGGTTGTTCTACGATAAATGATTATTTCATACTGGTTTTTGAAAGTTTCCCGTGAAAATCATTGCGTTTGTGCGGCGGTAAGTGGGAACCGTATCCATTTTGATACGTTGCGTCACGTAAGAAATGCAAATTCAACTTTACGTAAGGAGGAAGGATATAGAATTGCTGCAAGAGCATTTCCTTGCGTTGCGTACGTACTTACGTTGCGTTGAGGCAGGTTTTCTGCAAGCGGGAACCCAGCTTTAAGGTGAAGTTAAGGTTAAAGTAAAATCAATAATATAATTTAATATGAACTGTTACTGTTACCTTTATATCTTTAAAATATCTAAGTATGATTTGGTAAAGGTAAAGATAATTAAAAGAATTAAATGTAACTTGACCAAACTGTAGCAGCGTTTGCTGATACTTCACTATTTATAATGTAAACTAACAAATTTATAACTTCGGGTTTAATTATTTAGTTTTTCTGCTATAATTTTAATAGAAATATTGGACAATTCCATTGGTTTACAAATTCAGTATTCTGATTAGGTAATGTTTTTATTTTTGGTAGTGACACACTACAATCTTTGTTTTTATGTGTTCGTAGTTTTCGTAGTTTTTTTTTTTTTTTTTATCTTGGTGAATGTTTGTTTCTGCAGTTGCTGTTATCATATTGGCTTTTAATGGTGGTGGTAAATGTTTTATTGCCACGCTTACCTTTGAGTTCCTAGTTCATTAAGAATGTTATTGAAACTAGTACTATATGGTCATGCACATTAGCTATCGCCTGTCTAGTTGTTATTTACTTACAACTTTAATTTAAACCATTCATTGTGTACGAAACTGCAAATTATTGAACAATTTGGCAATGTATATTTCTGATTAAATTTCCATTGTAGGCCTAATTGAATAGTTTCGTGTATGTGTTTTTCCTACTTAATTACTCTTTCCCTTAAATATTAGTTAAGCCTGTTTTCCACTGGGCGAATTTATTCGTGCGAATCAAAAGCGTTGGTTCATGCACATGCGCATTCACATTTCTATTGGCCTCTGTGACATATTAAGCTCAAAGTGTTCTTCCTGCACTTAAACCCTCAACGTTGAAAGTTTAAAACAATGTGGTTGGCAGGCTTACTCTGAGAAAATCATAGTCTGAAATCGGTAAATCAAACCTGCATACTTGTATTTTTTGGGATCATGGAAGAATTATTAAAGGTTGGGGGTGCAGGGATGAAACGATTAATATTTAATATAAAATAGGGCGACCACAATGACGGTGACGTCACTAAATTTCGGAGTGCGGTATTCGAAAGTGAGGCTCGTGAACTGGTTCCAAAAAAAAAAAACCAAAAAACAAAAAACAAAAAAAACTGGTGCTACAGGATTTTGAGCTAGTGTTAAAAGATAGGGAATTTCCTGGACCGACTTTCAAAGGCTTGCATTCGGTAACCCCATAAAAACAATCATGTCAACGTAAATTTGGCCTTTCTTTTCATTTATATGGATTTCCACTTATGAAAATGTCTCAATTGTGTATAAAATAACAGTTTGCCCCAGTTTTTATTTCGGGAATTTTGCAATAGACAGGAGTCGGCTGATTCACTCAACCGTAACGAGCTGGTAACAACAAAGCCAACTGATGATGAGAAAATTCTTCGCGTCGCGAGCGGAAAATTGAAAAATTGGGACTGTGGCGGAAACATTAAATAATAATAATAATATAATAAGTCGATTACATTTTTGAAGAATGATTTTTTCAAAAAGATCTGTTTGCTGGTTTGGATAAGGAAGTCTTTGAAGTGGTGATGACTTAGAAGTGGCGTTAAATAAAAAGGTTTGTTACCAACTTGTCTTACCTGTGTAGGCATAGCCTAGCGTAGTTCAGACTGTAGAGAATACGCTGTTACGGAATACTACGGTACTCTACTGCCTGGCGCGACGTAGGCCCCTAGTTTAGTCATACGAACTATAATAATTTAAAACATTAGACAAACAAACAACACTATTTTTAATAAAGTACAGTAATTTACATGTTAATGATTGATCCATGGAAATATCTTGATGCCCTGTTCTGAGAAAAGGCATTAAGTAACAAAATCATAGTTTTGAGTAAATGAGCAAAACGCGTTTGAGTTTTTCCCAAGAAAAGTACAAATGATTCATTTTTAAAAAAACTATGGTTTGCTTAGGTATATTATTAAAACATTTGCCACATACTTTTCATTGATTAATTTTATTATTAAGGGGGCCAAAATGGAGATAATGCCTTTTTTCAGAGTATTTATAACTATGAATGTAGATAAATTCTTTTGAAATCGGGCATTATCTGTAAAACTTTTTAAAAACATGCATTAACAATTAATTTATTGAAATGTATGTATATGAAATTTAATCTATAGATTTATGACATATATTTTATAAAAATCTTGCTCCAAAAAAGTGAAAACTAGTATTAAAAAAAAAAATATTAAAATAGTTAAAACCACAAAATCTTCTATTTAATTTTTAAAGACCGAAGTATATGTATGAAATCCAAAGGTTAGTGTAATAATTGAAGGCTAGTATATACTCTGACATTATAAAATGCGGAATTTAATTGTGTACATGAGGAAAATGCGGTGCGGGGAGGGGGAAGGAGCCGGTGTTGTGAGGGGGAGGGGTGAGGTAGGATAGAGTGAAAATATTTTAAACTTATTTTATTTATGGTTCGGTAACCATGTCATCATATTTTAAAATCTCTTCGTCCTCCTAATCATCATCATCCGCATCATTAACATCATCATCATCATCATCATCACCATCATCATCATCATCATAATCATCATCATTATCAATTAATAATTAGAATATTATAATAATTAAATCATTATCGACTAATAATAAAATAGACAAAGCATTATAATTTCAATTTCAAAGTTCATTGATAACTTGTTAATTAACAATAACATGTAGAAAAATATATATACAAATGGTGTGCTAATTTTAAATATAAAACTAATAAATTTATATTTATTAAGTTATAATATAGGCCTACATTGCAACTATTATCTTTACAATGATAATGATACAATAACAACATACCTGTAGGTTATACCCGATACGCAGTGTGGCTTACGAAAGTTTTGTTTTTCTGAGCATGTGCAGATTGTGCTTATCTGGCTCATTAGCATAACAATACTGCACATAAGACTAATTCAAGTTAGACGGCTTTAAACCAGCCAGCTTCCTATCCTGGTAACAGAAAAAAGTCCTTGATGATATTAATAATTATAATATATACTATAGTATACTAAAAATTAAAATAATAACAATAAATAAAAAAGCTAGCTATAGAAATTAAAATGAGAACGCCACCATTAAACCGAGATTGCGGATATGAGCTACCACCCATATACAATAGCCTGCTACATCATCACACGAACATCAATGCTGAGGTGTCAGTTTACCTCCAGATTCAAACGGCTGACGAAGATGACGAGATGTTATCGAAAGCTCCAAGAAACTAAACTACAACTCTGAAAGGTAACTTACATTCTTTTTCTTAATAAATAGAATAATATTGTAATAATTATAAAATATGTAATTCGGATAATATAAAACTAAATAATAAAGATAATATTAGACGTAGGCCTGAATAATATTAATAATTATAATAATACTAAAATAATATAACATAACATAAAATAACATATAAAATATTTATGTAAATAGATATAAATACATTAAAAAGTACTAACATCTTGATTTAAAAACATTTAAACTGTCAAAAAAAATCAATACAGTATCAATATTAGACATTCAAAACTTATAACAATCACATAAAACACTTAAGAAAACACAAAAAGGGGAAGATAAAGAATGCGTTTAGCAAAAAACGGACAAAAGTGAGGAACGAATATGAACGAGCACCAACATTATCTATCTCATTAATAAAGAGAGCTAGAGCGTCGCTCCAGTGTCTACCTCCACCCTATGCATAATACAGAATTCGGGCAAGGCGGGCGTTTCCATTCTTTTTTCTTCTTGCTCGGGGTAAGTTTCAAGTTCTAGGTTCAGTTCACTGCTTCCTCCCTGCGTTCAGTTTGGCGGAAGTGTAGTAACTCTATCCTGGCTATCTATTTCTAGTCACATAAAGAACGAAAACTTGAATACAGAAATTACATTTATAAACATATTAATTCACAGTGGTGGACACTCTCCCTCTATGAGAAAAGGGCTCGGCAGTCGAACGTTGAAAAAGCTAAAAAACACCCCTACAGCAGACCTACTATACTCAGGCGCTTTAGAGATGTTCAGAAAGTTGAGTTTTTTTTGTGTTAAAAATGAAGAATTTTAATATTCCAGGATCAGAGGTATATAGGCCTATTGTGAATTCTTTTTTCCCTAGACTATTAGTAATAGCTCTACCTAACCCATAACCTTAATTAACACACTAACCTTAACCATAAACTTAATTCCCACACTAAACCTAACCATAAAATTAACTCCGAAATTAACCCTAACCATGAACTTAATTCCCAAACTAACCCTCACCATATCATTAATATCCACACTAACCCTAACCATATATTTAATTCCCACACGTACTAACCATAACCATACTTAATCCACACACTCACAGACTTAAAATTTGATTTTTTGTTTTGTTTTGTTTTATCTCTATTCCAAATTTTACAAATTGATGGGCCCCTTAATCCATCACTGGATATAATAGAATATATGTCCTACAGTTGAAGTCAGAGACACATATTGTTATGTATCAACAAAGCTCTTTTGCTGATCGAGGACCATATGGGTAGGGGGCCTCTTGGCCCCTAGGAGGAATCGGGGGCCAGGGGGCCAGGTAGACCGCCGCACGAGCGCATAGGCGTTACGCCACTGGTTGCAAGTGCGACGTTCCTTGAAGACGCGCGCATTAATGCGTACCAATACTATGGTAATGCGTTGTTATGCCGTTGGCGATAATGTTTGATAAGAAACAATCTTACTAAAAATAAAATACATTACAATACAAGGGTAGCTATGGTTTGCTGAGTTATTCGGAGATCAATCCAGGTTTGTTCAAGTTTAAGTTTAAGGTTTAGGTCAATAAGCTACTGTTGATCATCTATATTCTATACCATAACAATAGCATAGTCCTAGTGTTTTTTGCAGCCGGTTTAATTAACATTGTAGGGCTAGCCTGGGGGCGAACACTTATGCCTACACAGTCCATGGCCAACCAGCAAACACGGTGGAAAGAAGGAAATTCAGCAACGGAAGACCATTTTACAGGAAAAAGATATAGCCTAAATGAGGTGTAGCCTTTTCTCGCTTATGGTGCCTAAGCTTACAGACAGTAATGATAAGCCTAAACCATTAATATAGAGGAATAGGCCTACCATTAAACTGAAACACAGTGCCAGTACAGTTATTAGTCTAGGCCTAGCCCTTGTCCTCTTAAATACTCCAAATAATATATGGGAGCCACTTGAATGAAGAATAAGTAGGGAAGAGGTTATTAAAACAGTCCCCAACTCTTTAGGGAAAATCTAGCTACTTTGTTTCTTTATCAGGCACATGTAGCCATTCAACTTGAAAACATAAATTCTTCATAATTAGGCTATACACTTAAAAAAAAAAAAAAAAAAACACATTTTATAAGAACACTGAGGCTGAAATTGCTTAAAGATTAAGAAAGAAATTGAGGCTGAGGCAAAATTTTAAATGAGGTTTATATTTTTAAAAACCAAAATACTATATCTGTACATTATGTGCAGTAGCTGTGACTGTAATACCCTCTATAATACCGTACAGTATAATACCTGACATTTGGGGCCATTTTTGTGGGGTCACTTTCACCTACATTCCAGTACAGTGCATACTGCCGTACAATTAAATAATTTTTGTTTAAAAGGTGTGTAAACTAAGAACAAAATAAGAACATTTTGAGCCTGAAATCGGCCAAAATATAAGAACACTGAGTCTGGGCAAAATTTTACTGGTTCTTATATATATAAAAAAAAGAGTGTAGTTCAAGTCTAGCCTAGGCTCCTAGAGTAAGAATAATTTTATGATATAAATCAATAGGCTATACAAGGATACAATACAAGAGACTTATTCATCCCACTACTGGGGAAATTTATTTTATTTTATTTATTCGTACTATACTAACCAACAGCGATAACAACCGCCACTAACAGTTTAAAAACATATAAAATATTTATGTAAATAGATATAAATACATTAAAAAGTACTAACATCTTGATTTAAAAACATTTAAACTGTCAAAAAAAAATCAATACAGTATCAATATTAGACATTCAAAACTTATAACAATCACATAAACGTTTAAATAAACCTCTACATGTAACATCAACACGACTAAAAGGTGGGTTTAAAAGACCTCTTTTTCGGGTACGCCTGGGCACATGTAAATTAAATAGAAATTCACAATCATAATCAGAATTCATTACCTTAAAAAGAAAAACCATGTCAGAGAGCATTCTACGATCACTAAGTAAATTAATAATAACATATTTAGGACAATTCTTTATAAAGTCTACAAAATTTTCTCTGAACACGTTCAATTCACTGAGCCTAATTTGGACAAATAAAATTAAAAATTACAGTACAGAACTCCAAAATTGGGCCTAATTATGGTTTTATATAAGGCCATCAGAGCCTTCCCAAATCAGACCCAGCATTTTATTAGATTTAGCAACATAGAGCAAGCTTAGCTCAGTCAGTGGCGTCGAGAGCCAGTAAGGGCCCCGGGGCAACACCTCACATGGGGCCCCCTTCACTTGGGACCCCCACTCGGCCGCTCCCCAAATTAAGTCTCCTAAATCTGACAACTAAACTTTTCATCCTGGCCGTCGGATATCAGCTTCCATTCTGTCTCTTATACACATCTAGATGTGTATAAGAGACAGATATATATCTCATCGTATGTTTTTGTTACAAACAGTTATTCAAAATGAAGAAAATAATAAATATACTTTTGTCTCATCACCAGCAATTTGCATTCTAAAAATTAACGTCTAACCAGAAATTTGTTTCTTTACTCTTTTTGTAAGACAGTCAATTAAGTTATTGTAATTAGGGTTCTGTACGCGTTTCTTCTAATAACTTAATAAAAACAATTATTTCTTCCAAATTATTTCGACTTAGTCTTCTGTTGGGGTTGTGGTAATGGTTGAGCGGGAAAGAACACCGGCCGCCGCTCACAAAGATACAGATCATGCTGGAGATCAGACCAAGAATGACGACGAAGACGAGGCTGACGAGACCAACCTGGACAAGGGTTGGGCTTGGGTCGTTATGGTTGCCTCCCTGCTAACACACGTTTTCACGTTCGGAATGGCTTACTCTTCAGTAGGAGTGTTATATACGGAATTTTTAAATGTTTTTGGCAAGAGTAAATCAGCTACAGCGTGGGTAGGATCAATTCTTCTTGGAACCATGCTGTGTTCAGGTAAACAAAATTGCAATAACACTTTATAAAAGACATAAAAGTAATTATAAGAATAATTTGTCACTAAAAAATAAAAATGAGAATGTGGAATTATATTTAATTTCATTGTTTCTACTTAAAAGAAATATTATAACATCTCATTATTGCGCTATATATATACTGTCTCTTATACACATCTAGATGTGTATAAGAGACAGGTAATACCCTCTATAATACCGCAGTATATATATATATATATATTCATGTACATATTTTAGCTCACGCAGAAAAGATAGCGGTATGGTGATTGATGACACTACATAATTCTATTATAATAATCAATATTAGGCTTAATATTACCATTATTTACGGTACAGTACGGTCATTGTAGCCTACGAAGCTATACATTTCATTCTTATTATCACCCTTAAGGACCAATGTCGTTTATTGTATTATTATACATCAATAACTAAAGGTTTTCTCTTCTTATTCACATTAGGCCCAATTTCAAGCGTCATGGTCAGCAGGTGGGGCCCAAGAATTGTCACTCTAATCGGAGCTTCCTTTGCCACCATGGGTATGGTATTAAGTGCATTCGCTAATGGACTACCGTACCTATATATAACATATGGTGGTTTGACAGGTAAGATAATTTTGTGATTATTCTCTGCACTATGTTTTTTACAGTAAAAAGATTGTAAGTCTCCAACATTCATAATATTTCAGTATTATAAATATAACAATTTTACAAGAGATTTAAGGTATTATAATTTGATAATGCTAGGAGTGATGTTTTGCCCTTCCTGAAGTGTATGGAACACTCACTAATCACTATGCACAAGCTCTGTAGGCTAGTGGTTATGACACCGTGCTAGTTATCTGGAGGTCGTGGGTTTGATTCCTAACCGAATACGGTAACTTGCGAATTGTTTGCAAGTATTTATTGGGATGGTCCTGAGTATTCGGTATGATAACACGTCAGGTAGGGAAAAACATCATTCCATGTTAATTTTCTGAGACAAACTCACGTCGAAATAATGTTATTAGTAAATAAACAATAAAAACAATATACATAATGCTGGACCCGTTTTTACAAAAATGTAAGAACATTAACCTCGCAGCAACCGATGAACTCTTGCGTGCTTTCACCATCTTATAAATTATTTTGTATAATTATGTAAGTTTCATAATATTTCGTTATACTGTATTAAGCTTTTCCTTTATATTGTATTTTTTGTAAATTTGATTTATATTTTGTTTTCTTTTATATCACGACCATGATGAAAAACAGCATGTAAATTTTTGAGTTATGTTTTCGTGAATAAAGCTTTACCACTTACTTACTACAACTCCTCTTTTAGGTTTGGGCTTCGGTTTGTCGTATCTTCCTTGCATTGTCATCCTTGGAAAATTCTTTGAGCGTCGTCGATCTGTTGCAACGGGTATCGCCGTAGCCGGTTCTGGTGTCGGTACATTTATTTTAGCCCCTGTATGCCAAGCTCTCGTCGACAGTATTGGTTGGAGGAAAACATTTATCGTGCTAGGTGTGTTTGTTTATGTAATGTTCTTGTATATTTCTGGAGACGTTTATATATATGACAGTACAATTACTTGGGTTCAATGATGTGTTCCTTATTCAGTGCTCACAAGTGTGTCCGTATCTACATTCAGTATAAGATAATATACCAACAGGGTTCAACTCATGTTACAAATTAGTAACAGTGCTATTTAAAGATGTAATAGTTTAGTTGACTGACTTGTCAATCAATGTCAGATTCTGCTACAGTTTACTGATCAACAACGAAAACGTTATGAACATTCTGAAAATATAACATTCAAAGATCATGATGATAACGATGCGATAGGCCAACACACACGCCTAAATAAATTATTATTTTCTTCTTTCAAGGCTTTCTAGAGACGACGTTACACATATGTGGTTTTATCTATGACCCAAAGAAAGTACCAATACGAAGAAAGAAAACACAGATTAACCAGCTGAAGCTGCCGGAGGACAGGTTGACGGCAGTAGACCTGATGATTAAAGGAAGCTGTCTTGGCTTCCCTGTACTCTCAGCTTCCAGTATAATATTCGAAGAAAGTGGGCCCAGAAACCTAAAGTACATGCCCACGGAAGAAATATTTGCCATTGAAGAAGAAACTAAAGAACCTAACAAAGATATGAATGGTCCCGAGAGCCCATGCAAAAAGACAAACAATGAAGAGAAAATAATTACCGATCATGCGATGAACTGTGTTGAAAAATGGGAGCGGCGCAGCATTCGATTTGGAATTCCAACCTCCCGCAAAGATCGGGTTGTGTCAGGTACTGGTCGTGCTGTTGGTAGAAAGACATCAGCTCTTTCACTGTCAGCGATTGAGGAGTCGTACTCCAGCTCAATGAGAACACCAAGTTGTCAGACCATTAGCGTTACAACTGACACACAAGATGGTCCTAAGAATAAAGAAGCTTCGGCTGCAAATCACTCTGTCATTAGCGTAAATGACACATACAACAGCATCTCAGCTCTGGAGCAGTTCGGTCAAAAGGAGGCCAGTAAGCCGGAAGAGTTCAGTGGTCCTCTAATACCCAGTCGAAAAACAAGATTCATGTTGATGTTGAAGAATAGATTTGGC